CAACCCAGACAACATTTAGAGAGGGGTGGGGGAGGGGAGAGGGGTGGGAGGGAGAGGGGTGGGAGGGAGAGGGGTGGGGAGGAGAGGGTGGGGAGGGGAGAGGGGTGGGGAGGGAGAGGGGTGGGGAGGGAGAGGGGTGGGGGTGGGGAGGGGAGGGGTGGAGGAGAGGGTGGGGGAGGAGGAGAGGGTGGGGAGGGAGAGGGGAGGGGAGAGGGGTGGGGAGGGGAGGGGTGGGGAGGGGAGAGGGGGAGGGAGAGGTGTGGGGAGGGGAGAGGGGTGGGGAGGGGAGAGGGGTGGGGAGGGAGAGGGGTGGGGGAGGGGAGAGGGGTGGGGAGGGGAGAGGGGGTGGGGAGGGAGGGTGGGGAGGGGAGAGGGGTGGGGAGGGGAGAGGGGTGGGGAGGGGAGAGGGGTGGGGAGGGGAGGGGTGGGGAGGGGAGAGGGGGAGGGGAGGGGTGGGGAGGAGAGGGGTGGGGAGGGGAGGGGGTGGGGAGGGGAGGGGTGGGGAGGGGAGAGGGGTGGGGAGGGAGAGGTGGGGAGGGGAGAGGGGTGGGGGGAGGGAGAGGGGGGAGGGGAGAGGGGTGGGAGGGAGAGGTGGGGAGGGGAGAGGGGTGGGGAGGGGAGAGGGGTGGGGAGGGGAGAGGGGTGGGGAGAGGGAGAGGGGTGGGGAGAGGAGGGGTGGGGGAGGGGAGAGGGGTGGGAGGAGAGGGGTGGGAGGGGAGAGGGGGGAGGGGAGAGGTGGGGAGGGGAGAGGGGTGGGGAGGGGAGGGGTGGGGAGGGGAGAGGGAGGGGGAGGGGAGGAGGGGTGGGGGAGGGGAGAGGGGTGGGGAGGGGAGAGGGGTGGGGAGGGGAGAGAGGTGGGGGGGAGGGGAGAGGGTGGAGAAGGGTGGGAGGGAGGGGGGGTGAGAGGGAAGGAGGACGGGAGAGGGGATGGGAGGTGAAGGGAGGAGAGGAGAGGAGAGGGGATGGGAGGTGAAGGGAGGAGAGGAGAGGAGAGGGATAGGGTGAGGGAAGGGGTGGGGAGGGGAGGGGATGGGGTGGTGAGGGAGGGGTGGGGAGAGGTGGATGGGAGAGGGTGGAGGTGGAGAAGGGTGGAGGAGGGAGGTGAGAGGGAAGGAGGGAGGGGAGAGGGATGGGAGGTGAAGGAGGGGAGGAGAGGAGAGAGAGGGGATGGGAGGAGGAGAGGACAGGAGAGAGGATAGGCAGGAGAGGAGAGGGGAGGGGAGGGAGGGGAGATGAGAGGTGAGGCGAGAGAGGAATACAAGAGAAATATTTGCAACATGAAAACACATTTATAAACAGTTCGTCAATATGTACTAAATATATGTGGTAAATATATGTACTTCTAGAATATGTTTAATAGACTGCAGAGAGAGAGAGAGAGAGAGAGAGAGAGATCAACAACAGGGAGCATTCCCATCACTCACCCACGACATCCAGGTAACCCACTTGGCTGATCATGGGTTCGGTGTTGACCTGACACATGTACTTCCCCTTATCCTCCCGGGTCACGTCGTCGATATGGAGGGACCACGTCATCTGGTCGTCCTGAACCACGGAGAAGCGGGACATCCTCGTCACCACCGTCTTGTGGATCGCCAACAGCATTTTACGATCCATGTGGAACCACGCCACCTGAGGGAGAGGGGGGAGAGTGCGTTATGGTGAGGGAGAGGGGGAGAGGCACAGGGTGAGGGAGAGGCGATGGTGAGGGAGAGTAGCAGGTGGAGGGAGAGGTGTTATGGGTGAGGGAGAGGCAGCAGGTAGGAGAGGGGGTGAGGGGAGAGGTAGCGGTGAGGGAGAGTGCGTTATGGTGAGGGAGAGTGCGTTGTGGTGGTGGGGGGAGTGTGTTATGGTGAGGGAGAGTGGCGTTATGGTGAGGGGAGAGTGTACAGGGTGAGGGAGTGTGTGTGGGCAGGTGGTGAGGGGAGAGTGCGTTATGGTGAGGGAGTGTGTGTTATGGTGAGGGAGTGTGTGTATGTTGAGGGGAGTGTGTGTTATGGTGAGGGAGAGGCAAGGAGTGAGGGGAGTGTGTGCTATGGTGAGGGAGTGTGTTATGGTGAGGGAGTGTAGGGCAGGTGGTGAGGAGTGTATGTTGGGGTGAGGGAGTGTGTGTTATGGTGAGGGAGAGTGTGTTATGGTGAGGGAGAGTGTGTTATGGTGAGGGAGAGGGGTGGGAAGAGTGTGCATGGGGGAGAGTGTGTTATGGTGAGGAGTGTGTGTTGTGGTGAGAAAGAGTGTGTTATTGTGGGTTAAAGTGTGTTATGGTGAGGAAGAGTGTGTTATGGTGACGGAGTGTGTAAGGTGGTGAGGGAGAGTGGAGACGGAGTGTGTGTAATGGTGAGGGAGAGGTGTATGGTGAGGAAGAGTGTGTTATGGTGAGGAGTGTGTGTTATGGTGAGAGAGAGAGAGAGAGAGAGAGAGAGAGAGAGAAAATGTTTACCTTTTCTCTCTCCCTCTCTCTCTTTTACTCACATACGCCTCTCTCTCTCTTTTCTCTCTGCCCTCTTCCAATTTCTTTCATTCTCCCTTTGACATACTCTCTCTCTCTCTCTCTCAGTTCTCGATACCATGACCAAATTATCGAAACCAAGAATATGTTTTCGAAACCTCTGATACATGGCAGAGATCAAGTTTTTAAGACCATGGGCAAGTTTTTAAGACCATGGGCAAAGTTTTAAGACCATGAGCATATTTTTAAGACCATGGGTATATTTTAAGACCATGGGTAAGTTTTAAGACTGTGGGTAATTTTTATGACCATGGGCAAGGATTAAGACCATGGGTGAGTTCTTAAGATCATGGGTAAGCTTTTTCAAGACCATGGATAAGTTTTTAAAACCATGGGTAAATTTTAAACCAGGTGTAAATTTTTAAAACCATGGGTAAGTTTTTAATATAAGTGTTTAGACCACGGCAAATTTAAGACCATGGGCAATGGTTTAAGACCAGGCAAATGCTTAAGACCATGGGTGAGTTTTTAAGACCACGGCAAGTTTTTAAGACCATGGGTAAGTTTTTATGACCATGGGTAAGTTTTTATGACCATGGCCAAGTTTTTAAGACCATGGTGAATTTTTAAGACCATGGGTAAAGTTTTAAGACCATGGGTGAATTTTTAAGTCCATGGGTAAGTTTTTTAAGACCATGGGTAAGTTTTTTAAGACCATGGGTAAGTTTTTAAGACCATGGGTAAGTTTTTAAGACCATGGGTGAGTTTTGGAGGACGTAGAGCGACTTTGTGGAGCTGAAGAAAGAGTTATCGAAGCTAATATTGACTCTGGTAGATTAATATCAACAGAGAGAGAGAGAGAGAGAGAGAGAGAGAGAGAAGAGAGAGAGAGAGAGAGAGAGAGAGAGTCTGTCTGTTTATCTTTATCGCTTTATCTCACTCTTTCTAATTTTCTTTCTCTATTTATCTTTAATCTTATATGTTTCTCAGTCTATTTCACTTTCCTTAGTTTCTCTCTCTCTCTCTCTCTCTCTCTCTCCTATATATTTTTTAAAGTGTGTGTGTGTGTGTGTGTGTGTGTAATAGAAGATAATGTGGTCAAGTATGTCCTTCAGTGGAGTCAAACTTGGCTTGTTATCGAGGTCCCACTCCTAACTGTGCCTTCAAGGGGGAGTCAAACTTGAGCTTGTTCTCGAGGTCCTACTCTTAACTGTGCCTTCAAGGGGGGAGTCAAACTTGAGCTTGTTGAGCTTATTATCGAGGTCCTACTCTAACTGTGCCTTCAAGGGGGAGTCAAACTTCCCTCCCAGAACAAAATAAAAGAGTGACTCGTTAAATATAGAAAATAGCCCTCAGCCGACGCTCACATTTGAGAGGGGGGAGGTCCAGTAGGCCCCTCAGTCTTAATAGGCCCTAGTTTTAATAGGCCCCTGCCTTAATACCCAGTTTTAATAGGCCACAGTCTTAATAGGCCCCAGTTCATTAGGCCCCAGTCTTAATAGGCCCCAGTCTTAATATGCCCCAGTCTTAATAGGCCCTAGTTTTAATAGGCCTCGCTCTTAATAGGCCCCAGTCTTAATAGGCCACAGTCTTAATAGGCCCAGTCTTAATAGGCCCCAGTCTTAATAGGCCCCAGTCTTAATAGGCCCCAGTCTTAATATGCCCCAGTCTTAATAGGCCCTAGTTTTAATAGGCCCCACTCTTAATAGGTCCCAGTCTTAATAGGCCCTAGTTTTAATAGGCCCCATTCTTAATAGGTCCCAGTCTTAATAGGCCCTAGTTTTAATAGGCCCCATTCTTAATAGGCCCCAGTCTCAATAGGCCCCAGTCTTAATAGGCCCCAGTCTTAATAGGCCCCGGAATTAATATATGTTATTGTACTCAAGGGTTAAGTTATTGTACTCAAGGGCTTAAGTTATCGTGCTCAAGAGATTAAGTTTTCGGGCTAAGGGGGTTAAGTTATTGTACTCAAGGGGTCAGGTCATCGTACTCAAGGGGTTAAGTTATTGTACTCAAGGGGTCAAGTCATCGTACTCAAGGGGTTAAGTTATCGTACTCAAGAGGTTAACACAGACCTGTACTACAATCAGACATATTGTAAAAAAAATGTCTGTCTGTCTGTCTGTCTGTCTGTCTGTCCTATGGTTTCTATCAGGCTATCTGTCTATCTATTTATTTGTCTGTAAGTCTGTCTGTCTGCCTACATGCCTATCTACTGTTGTCTGTCTGTCTATTTATAATGTCTGTCTACCGTCTGTCTGTCTGTCTACCTTTCTTTCTGTCAGTCTCTCTGTCCTTATGTTTTTCTATCAGGATCTTTCTGTCTATTTGTCTGTCTGTCTGTCTATCTGTCTGTATCTATTTATAATGTCTGTCTACCGTCTGTCTGTGCAACTTTTCCCCAGCTGTCTAACTAGCGCTTGAGACTATCACCTTCAAACTCTCAGATCATGTTCCCAAGCACACCGGCCTTCTGTCTACAACGGTATACAACAGTGGAAAAAGTAGCGTCATTATATACTGCTATGGGTCTGTCTGTCTGTCTGTCTGTCTCTGTCTGTCTGTCTTTTCTCTCTTAATCTCCATCTGCTCTTTCTTTCAGTCTTTTCTCTCTCTCTCTTCCACTCGTTCTCTCTCTCCCACCCTCCTACCCCTCCACCCCTCTCTCTCCCCTCTCCCAATCCCCATTAGTATAATTGAAATACTCATGATTTCTGTCATATAATACGAGAGACAAAATACTCCGTGTTGTCAGAGAGAGAAACTGTAGGACTAGTGCTCTTTTCCTCCAAATCTCTGTCGCTCAATAAAGTGGTACAGGACGACGAAAAATATGGATACAGAATTTGTACTTGTACCTGTACACTTACCTGTGTTTGTCTGTGTGTATGTGTATCTGTACTTATATCTGTACCTGTGTGTGTGTGTGTGTGTGTGTGTGTGTGCAGAGGGTGGTGTAATGAGTCTAGTGTGGCAGCATTATGCTATTGTTAAGGTGAAAGCACTGCTTGTTTCCTCTCGCTTTCAGCTACCGCCGCTGGCTAGCCCTCGTGGCAAACAAGGAAACAACTTGCATAAGTCCTCCCCTGCTAGTACACCACCAGGGTACACCAGCAGGGGATCTCGGAGTCGCAGTGGGCTCGAGAGGGGGACGCATAGGTCCACTGGCATGTGGACAAGTCCTGGTGCCTACCAACCACTGCCCCGTTGCCTTGCAGATTAACCTTGGTAGGTATAAGGCTACGGGAGTAAACCCTCAATTAAAAATAGGGGTGGTGGAGCCCCGCATCAGGCAGACATGCTTACACAGTTCATAAGACCCCGACGGCGGTGTAGGCGGAAGAGGTGACCAACATGGGAACCCAATGACTACACTGGTGGACGAAGGCAATCCATGATGGACAGGCTACCAAGGTGAAACCCAACAAACTGGGCTATCGGAAGTACATTGCAAACTCTCCCTCTCCCCAGTCGTTGCATCACTTGCACCACTGGATCAGGAAAGGGGAGAGTCAAGATGATGGTTGCAGCCTGCGCTCCTGCCTCACCACATAAATCAACTCACGTGCAGCCATCTTCCACCTCATCATACCACTCATCATCATCAAAACCCCTATACCCCCAAAAGTCCTATGGCGACGGGCAAGTGGCGACGGGGACAGGCAGAGATGACTGCCGGGAGTCTCTAGTCACAACTCTGCACATGGGCGGCACAGATAAGATGGTCGTTTATGCACTGGCATCTAGGTAGCAGTGCAATCCGGTCCTGTCTGTGCGACTGAGCAGTCCTTTCCAGGAGCCACTCTGCCTAAAAAACCAACCTGACTGGGCAACTGCACCCAGTAAGGTCATCCTTATGCAGTTGAAAACTCAATCATATTCACAGATCAAAATATGAACAAACTATACAACCTCTTATGGTCGCTGCATGGAATGTCAGGACCCTTCTGGATACTGCTACAAATGAGCTTCCTGAAAGAAGAAACGACCTTGGCAAAGAGTTATTAGTGAGTCCCCACTCCCAGACGAGGGTCAACACACAGTACGGGGATCTGGCTATACCTTCTTCTGGAAAGCTAAACCTGTTGCAGAAAGAAACAGCATTTATGGAGTTGGCTTTGGCATCTGCCAAAGCATCCTGTATAGGCTAACTGAAATGCCTGTTGGGATCAACAAGCGCTTCTATGACGCTCAGAGGTCCACTGAATCACTCACGTCATGCCTTCTTCATCAGTGTGTATGCCCCAACCCTGGATGCAGAGGATGGCATCAAGGAGGCCTTTTACGCCGACCTCGACAGATTGCAAACCTCTATCCCTAGAAAAGATAAGGTTGTGCCAGATCTGGCAGACATGCTGATATTTGGCAGGGAATCATAGGAAGAAATTGACGGCAAGTGTAATCCCAACGGCCTATTCCTCCTCAACAAGTGTGGTGCACACAACCTCACAGTCACCAATAACATGTTTAGGCTGGCCGACAAGTTCAAGGGTTCCTGGCACCAACCACGATCCAAACACTGGCATCTCATTGAACTACTTCATTGTCAGATAATGAGATCGCAGAGATGTCCTCATCACCCGTGCCATGCATGGCTCAGACCACTGCGACACTGATCACCGGCTCCTCAAGGCCAAGCTCTCACTTCACGTCACACCAAAACGGCGAAGGCAGCAAGCCTCCAGAAGAGGTTTTAACACTAAGCGTCTGGAAGATCCAGTGGTAACACATGCTTTCAGAGAGCAACTCGAACATGGGCTGATGAACAACCCGACAACAAACAACCCAAATCCTTGTGCCGGATGGGATACTCTCAACATTGTCATAACATAAACCCGAAGAGACCCTCGGCCAGATCGAGAGAATACACCAGGATTGATTTGGTGAAAATGACCCGGAAATCAATGTACTCGTCGATGATAAACGTGCTACCTTAACTGACTGGCAGAACAGCCCTCACTCGGACCAAAACTGATACCTTCCGCAAGAAGAAAGCGGCGGCCCAGCGCGAACTTCGCAATCTAAAGAATAACTGGTTTAAAAATAAAGCATGTGAAAAACAAAAACTTGGACATCAGCACAATTTGCGTGAATTTTTCAATTCCACTAAACATTTCATGGGCAATCACTCACACCGCATCCCCCCTCCGCTCATCCAACGGTAACTCTCTAATTTAAGACGAAGAAAGCATCCTCGGTACTGGAAAGAGCACTACCATTTACTGCTCAACCGAAACGCTGATGTGGATGTCCTGACTACTCAGCAGGTCCCCCAGCTAGCTGATCCACCTCAACTATCCTCCATCCCTGGATGAGGTAGCTACTGCCATCAAACAGATGAAAAATAACAAAGCCTCAGGGCCTGATGGAATCTCAGCCAAGGTGTATAAAGCAGGAGGATCTCTCCTTACCAGCCGTCTCCACTCTCTCCTGTTGAATATATGAAAAAGGAGGAAATCCCTCAAGATCCTAAAGACACCTCCATCATCAATATTTATAAAAACAAGGGAGAGTGGTCAGACTGTGGCAACTACCGTGGATCTCGCTGCTCTCCGTAGCTGGCAAGATTATCGGCCGAGTCCTCCAAAACAGACTTCTTCTTGAAGCGGAAAACTTCCTCCTAGAATCTCAATGTGGCTTTAGACCATCAGGTGACACCACTGGCGTGATCTTTGCTGCCCGCCAGATACAGGAAAAGTGCAGAGAACAGCGTCGTGATCTGTACATGGCTTTCATCGACCTAACAAAGGCCTTCGACTCGCTCAACAGATAATCCCTTGGTTGGACCCACCAGCCGTTTTGGCTGCCCACCAAAACTCACCGCCATTATGAAGCAACCCCACGATGGCAAGAACAGCAGTGTATTGCAAAGGGCACCCAGTCTGAGTTCTTTCCCAACCAAAAGAAGGTAAAACAAAGGTGTGTACTGGCACCAACTCTCTTTTCCATTTTCTTGGCTGCCTTTCTTACTCGTGCCAGTGCCAATTGAGCCGGCAGGGTGGACATCAAGTACCGGATGAAGGGTCTTTTCAACATAAAACAACTCCAGGCAGGAACAAAGGTGTCGGCAGCTTCCATTACTGAAATTCAGTATGCAGACGACCTCACCCTTGTCGATCACACTTCGTCCTTGAGGTGAATGTACGTAAGACTCAGATTCTCTTTCAGCCTGCCTCTGGTTCAGTCACACCTCCACCAGTCATCCATCTTAACGGTACTACCCTCTCTAATGATACCCACTTTCGGTATCTCGGCTCCCACCTGTCCACCACTGCGGACATCGCTGAAGAGATTCAACATCGGATCAGATGTGCATCTTAAGCCTTTGGCAGACTCCATACCCGTGTCTTCAGCTGTAGGGAGCTGAAATTATCTACAAAGTTGCACGTATATCAAGCAGTGGTCCTCCCCACCCTGCTATATGGCAACGAGACATGGGTCACATACAGGAGTCACCTCAAGGCACTTGAAAACTTTCACCAACGTAGTCTACGTTCCATCCTCCGAGTTCGCTGGGAAGACAAGAGAATAAATGCCAATATTCTCGCTGACACCAACTGTAGGAGCATCGAGGCTACTTTTATCCATGAACAACTATGCTGTATTGGCCATGTTACCCGCATGGACGACAGTAGACTGCCAAAGCAGCTACTTTACAGTCACCTAACAAATAGTAAACGTAACACTGGCAGGGAACTGATAAGGCATAAGGATAGTCTTAAGACAAACCTGAAAATGTGCCAAATCGACCCCCTCACCTGGGAGACGATTACTCCACACCGTAACGCTTGGAGGAGCACCACAGAAGGTGTCAATATTTTCGAGTTAGTCCGACTGCATACCAAGGCAGACAAGCGCCAACGCCGGAAAGACGCTGCCGCGGCTCCGCACTAGATGTAGCTCCCCATGAGCAACACCTGTGGACGACTCTGCCGGTCCAGTATCGGCCTCTTTAGTCACCCCAGAACTCACCAACGAAGGTGACATCCTTAATAACTCATATCATTGAATCATAACTGGATGATCGTCATACTTGATTCCGAGTGACAGCAAAGTAGTAGTAGTGGTGTGTGTGTGTGTGTGTGTGTGTGTGTGTGTGTGTGTGTGTGCGTGTGCGTGTGAGGGTGGGGAGAGTGGAAAGGTCACGCTGTAATTATATTTATGTGTGTATGTGGATTATGCAACCTTTGTCTGTCTATGTAACTCTCTATCTATTCCTCTATCTCTCATTTTACTGTTTTTCTCTCCTTCTCTGTCACTCTTCCTCCCTCACACACACACACTAATTCGTCCACTCTTTCTCAATCTCTAAAACACGTACTCAGACAGACAGACAGACAGACAGACAGACACGCACGCACAAACACAACACATCCCCCCCCCAACACACACACACTCACTCACTCACTCACTCACTCACTCACTCACACACACTCACCTTATACTTAGTGAGGTTCTGCACACGACAGGTGAGATCGGCCGTCTTGCCCACAGCGGCCGTGTAGTTGGTGACGGGAGCCATGAACCGGGGCAGCTGTTCTCCTCCTGCTGGGGTAGAAGACGAAGCTCAGTTAGTGTGGGTATGGTAGAGCCTAAGTGTGTGTGGGTTGGCGTGTGGGTTGGGGTGTGGGTTGGCGTGTGTGGTGTGTGTGTGTGTGTGTGTGTGTGTGAGAGAGAAAGTGGAGAGAGAGAGAGAGAGAGTTCTAATTAACTGTTTTAAAAGACATTATAATTGATATCCATAAATAACACAATGCCATATGAAAGCAACAACAAAAACACCAAAATAACAACAATAAATGAACAATAACAAGAAAAATAACAGAAAACAATTAAAACAAAAACAATGAGCATAGACTAAAAAAGAAGAAGAAGAAGGAGGAGAAGGAGGAGGAGGAGAAGAAGAAAGAAGAAAGAAGAAGAAGAAGGTCTCACACAGCAAGGGATAGTTCAACAAAGTAACAGAAGGTGAAGCAACAAGTAGGTGATGTAGAGAGAGAGAGAGAGAGAGAGAGAGAGAGAGAGAGAGAGTCAACTAGTCATGAATGATGGTTGATACGCATCGTTACTTGCACCTGGTATGGAGGAGGAAGAGGAGGAAGTGGTGGAGGAAGAGGAGGAGAAGGGAAGGAGGAGAAGGAAGGGAGGAGGAGGGAGAGGTGGAGGAGGAGGGTAGGGATGTATAAGATGGAGTTGATGGAAAGTGTCTCTTTGTTTGTGGGGGAGGAGGGGTGAGGGGGAGGAGGGGTGAGGTGGGTTGGAGGGATGAGGTGAGTCTTGGAGGGGGAATGAGATGGGTCTTGGAGAAGGTGGGGAGGAGGATGAGGTGGGTCTTGGAGGGGGTTGGAGTGAGTTTTGGAAGATGATTGGAGTGGGTCTGGGTCTTGGAGGAGGAATGGGGTGAGGTTGGTCTTGGAGTGTGGCAAGGTAGGTTTTGAGAGGAGCAGCAAGGTGGGTCTTGGAGGGGGGGAGGAGGTGGGTCTTGAAGGGGGGAATGAGGTGGGTCTGAGGAAGAGGAGGTGGGGGAGGAGGAGGAGGTGGGGAGGAGGAGGAGGAAGTGGGGGAGGAGGAGGGGTGAGGTGGGTCTTGGAGGAGGAGGAGGAGGAGGAGGAGGGAGGTGGGTCTTGAGGGGTTAGTAGGAGTAGGGGATGGAGGGTCAATATAGTGGTAGTGGCAGATAAGGGGTGAAGATTGTGGTAGTAGTTGTGGTAGGGGATTGTAGAAGTGAGGGGTAGTAGTTGTGGTAGTGGGGATTGTAGAAGTGAGGGGTAGTAGTTGTGGTAGTGGGGATTGTAGAAGTGAGGGGTAGTAGTTGTGGTAATAGTAGTAGTAGAAATAAAAAGTAAGTAGTAGTAGGGGGGGGGTAGTAAAAGTAGTAGGCCACACTGTACAACATCAAGATCAAGTGTCCAAGCTTTCCAATGTATGTTGAAAACTCCTATAGGAATCCATCAGACCTTTATATAGTAAACAACAAGGCTCTAAGAGGTGATACCATCATACAGTCAACAGAGGGAACAACGCAGGGGGAACCGGTTGTAATGGCAATGTACGCAATAGGCCTATCAGTGCTCCAACACAATAAATTTTGAAACAACCGAGGTCAAGCAAGTGGGGTATGTTGACGACCTTACAGGAGCAGGAAAAGTGGAGGACATCAAAGTGGGGGGACCTGATAACATCACGAGGTCCACAAATTGGGTACCACCCAATGCCAGCAAGTCCTTCCTCAATGTGAAGCCAGAACATTATAAACGGGCAATGGAGCTGTTCGGTGGAAGTGAGGTCAAAATAATGAAGGATGGCCAAAGACACCTAGGTGCGGTAATCGGCACGACGGACTTCAAGATTGAGTACATAACGGGAAAGGTGAATGAGTGGGCAGGAAATCCAATCTCTGTCTGATATTGCTAACACAGAGCCACATGCGGCTTCTGCAGCATTCACCCACGGAGTCAAGCATCGCTGGAACTACCTGATGCGCACTATCCCTGATATTGGACCCTTTCTCCACCCTCTGGAAGAAGCTATCAGCGTCAATTTCATTCCCAAATTAGTGAAACATCTTCACTTAACCCCAGCAGAACGATCACTCCATGCACTACCGCCGAGACTGGGAGGAATGGGATTGACCAATCCAGAGGAGACTGCTGCCACCGAACATCAAAACTCAGTTAAGCTCACGGCAGCCCTCACGGACCAAATAATAGCTTAGAACACAACAGGCGAGGAGGATACCAGCGAAGTAAAAAAGATTCGACGGTCCACTACGACAGAACGAGAGCACGGCCAAAGTAATAAGTTGTAGCAACTGTTGCTGCAAGTACCAGAGAATTTGAAGAAAAAAAGTAGCTATAGCGCAGGAGGTGGGCGCCACGAACTGTTTAACTACGTTACCGATAAGGGCAAATGGTTTTAGTCTTAATAAACAAGAATTTACAGATGCCAATGCTCTAAGGTACGGTAGGCCAGTAGAAGGTTTGCCCTCCCAATGCGTGTGTGGCTCTTCCAATGACATCGACCATGCCATGGTGTGGTGTGCAAGAAAGGGGGCTTCATATGCATGAGGCATGACGAAGTAAGGAAATCTGTCGTGATGTCAGGGTAGAACCGACCCTTCTTCCATTGGACGGTGAGAATTTCCATGATAGGACTTCAAACACATCCAAGGAAGCCCATGTTGACGTCAGTGCTCGAGGATTTTGGACGCGGGGACGGCGAGCCTTCTTCGACATCAGGATTTTTGATCCCATGGCCGCATGTCATCGGTACTTAGCTCTCGATCCTGCACCCAGGAGGAACGAGAACGACAAGAGAAGGGCATAGGGGAGAGAATTCAGAACGTTGATCAAGGCAGCTTCACCCTCTAGTGTTCACAACCTCTGTGGATGGGACCATGCAAGATGTTTCACGCCAACTCGCTGAGGTGCTATCTCCGAACAGAAGCAGCAGCCCAGAAGTTATGTTACAGCCTGGATGAGATGTCGACTGTCTTAGCTGAACTACTGATGAGTACCATCCCTGAGATCAGACCCTCCTCCACCCTCTGGAAGAAGCTATCAGTGTCAAGTTCATTCCCAAACTAGTGAAACACCCTGACTTAACCCCAGCAGAAAGAACACTTTGCACTTCCACCAAGACTGGGAGGATGGGAACAACTAATTCAGAGGAGATTGCTGCACTGAACATCAAAATTCACTTAAGCTCACGGCAGCCCTCACGGACCACATATCAGCCCAGAATGCAACAGGGGAGGTGGATACCAGCGAAGCAAATAAGATTCGTAGGTCCATTACGACAGATCGGCAGCACTGCCAGATCGAAATGTTGCAGCAACTATTGCTGCAGGTTCCAGAAAATTTGAAAAAAAAGTAGCTATAGCGCAGGAGGCGCCTGAACTGGTTAACTACGTTACCGATAAGGGCAAATGGTTTCAGCCTTAACAAACAAGAAGTTACATATGCCATTGCTCTAAGGTACGGTTGGCCAGTAGATGGTTGCCCTCCCAATGCGTGTGTGGCTCTTCCTATGATGGCGATCACGCCATGGTCTGCAAGAAGGGGGGCTTATATGCATGAGGCATGACGAGGTAAGGGATCTCACAGCAAATATGTTGAAGGAAATCTGCCGTGACGTCATGGTAGAACCGACCCTCCTTCCATTGGATGGTGAGATCTTCCATCACAGGACTTCAAACACATCCAACGAAGCCCGTGTGGACGTCAGGGCTCGAGGATTCTGGACGCGGGATAACGAGCTTTTCGACATCAGATTTTGATCCCATGGCCGCTTGTCACCGTAACCTAGCTCTCGATGCCATAGAGGAACGAGAATGACACTAGAAGGGGGAGAGAATTCAGAGCGTTGATCAAGGCAGCCACCTCTTGTGCCACAACTCTTGTGGATGGGCCCGTGCAAGATGCTTTACGCCAGACTGCGGAGTTGATCTCCGAACAGAAGCAGCAGCCCAGAAGTTATGTTACAGCCTGATGAGATGTCGACTGTCCTTTCTCTCCTCGTCGGCTTGTTTCTGCCTCAGAACGAGAGCTTGCCCCACTACAACTGCAGAGCTAGTCACTGATGCCGCATAGATCTGCGCTCAACCAATTTAACACAGATAGGATAGCTTCTATGTATTATAGGATATTTAATATTAGGGTAAATAAATGGTGGCGATGTGGCTATTGGGGAGGCTGAGGCACGTGAAAAAAAAAGTAGTAGTAGTAATAATAGAAAGATAAAAAATCACACAGTATTTTCAAAGTTATCGTAGCCTCAGGTAGACACCCAACTTCATGCACTGCTCTCTCTTTCTCTTTCCTCTCTCTCCCACACGATATACAAACCACACCCGACTTTAACGCCCCCCTACCTTCCAAATACACTCAAGCTCCTTCCCCAAAACAAAAGACTGTCGCCGGTGTCAAAACAAGCACATACCCCAACCACCCATAAAGGCGAAAATCCACATTATTTATTATATCCCAACGAGACTAAGAGACGAGCCAAGTATGCCAGACTGTCAAGATGTTCCGTGACGTCAGGGGGAACTATGGCATACGATATATGTTAATTTTAAGGACAGTGGAAGGAGAGGAGAGAAGAGGAGGGGGGGGGAGGGGTGGGGGAAGGGGGGAAGGGGGGGGAAGGAGAGAGGATAGGAGAAGGAGGAGGAGGAGGGAGGAGGGAGAGAGAAGGGAAGTGGAAGAGGGTAGAGGAGAGGATTAAGGAGGAGGAGGAGGAAAGGGGTAGAAGGGGAAGAAGGAGGAGGGAGGGTAGAGAAGAAGAGAGAAGAGAAGAAGGAAGAGAGAGGAGGGAAGAGAGAAGAGAAGTGGAGGAGGAGGAGAGAGGGAGAAGGGGAAGAAGATGGAAGGAGAGTAGAAGGGAAATGGAGGAAGGTGGGGAGGAGAGGAACAAGAAGAGATGAGGAAGAAAGAGAGGAGGAGGAAGAGAATGAGGAAAGGGAACAGGGAAGGAGGAGAGGAGAGGGAGGATGAGAGGAGGGAGGGAGGGAGGGGAGGGATGGAAGGGGAGGATGAAGACGACCCTTG